GTGTCCATGTCTTCCCTCCGTCGCAACAAATAGAAACATTATCATTTAAATATCAAGGCTGGGAATTTCTCTTAAGAATTTCCAGAGATTACAGGTTTGCGCCTGAACATGGTATTGTTACCGTGCATGAATGCAAAAGCCAAAATTGTTATAACTACAAAAACCAAATTCTTAAGAAGTTCAGTTAAGAACTTCAGAACTTCTTAAGAAGTTGAAAGAGCAGATTATTTCACAAACAAGAGTCATCTCCTTTTTGAGAAAACACAACTGCCAAGGAGCTGCTTAGCCACAGGACTCCTTGACTCAGTTAATAACATGCCCCTGACCTGAAAGTTATTTTTTATCTTGGGGTGCATGGAACAGTAATGTTTTACAGCTTTTAGCTCTCCTCAGCTTCAAGAAAGACAGCAGAGTGAAGGTACTGCCTGACAGTGGGAGTATTTACCATAAAGCTCCCTGTCACTGCAAGGACACACAACTTCCCTATGTTTCATTTCTGGGACTCATCACTCTTTTCATCACCAAGATTGAGCCTACATAGAAGGATGAACAGAACTTACTCATGCAGCATGTTGGCTTCAGGCTCAGGCAGAGACATACATCAGTATTCTGGAACCCCTGCAGAAACCTGGGGACTTTCCAGAATGACAAACTCACTTGAAAACTGACATTTTCTGGGATCCAGTGCTTGGATGTGATGACAAATCTCCCTGCAAAGTTGCAGCTTTGACCCCTATGTGCACATCCACTGTATTTCTGCTGAAGAGTGGCTTATGAATAATGGGTGTTCAAAAGTCCTTCAAAATCTTGGGGAAACTATGAAGAGCTGAAAGATGATTCCTCCAGGAAGACTGACATGAGAAACAGGCAACACCCTAGCCCAGGGAGTAGAAGGAATCTGACCTGCAGCAAGTGGGTGAGGGTTTACCTGTCAGAGCATCCGGAGGGCTGAGCCTGTCTGCAGCATCATAGAATTCCTCCTCCGAGCTGGTGTCACCGAAGCCTGGGGGCGGCTCCAAAATGATGTCATTCGTCTCTGCTGTCTGCTCTGCTCCATGTGGTGTCTCTGCCTGGGCATACCCATCTTTCCAAGGACTTCTCTGAGGGCTGCAACTGGTGTTGCTCTTCTCCACGCTGCCTGCAGAGGATATGCTGTAGCACAGGCTGTAATAGCTCATGGTGTTTCTCTCAGACAGCTTGGTCTCCAGCACAGACACACCACTGTCCTCCCCTCTCTGCTCTGAGGGGTTGTCTTCACACCCAGGCTCCTCTGCATGTGGTACCTGCAAGAAGCAGAAGTAGTCTCTGGTTTCTGCCCTGCCGGAGCCTCCTGCAGCATGAATGGGGAAGAAGCTCTTGGCTGAGCTGCTCATCTCCTGCACTGTTGGTGTGTAGAAGTGGAAGAAATCTGGCCTAGAAGAGGAGCAAGCTTCCAACTCATCTTCCTCCAGTGCATCCATAGAGTCACTGGAGCCACTTGTCTTAAACCCTCGGCTCTCGGTGTTGGCTGAATCTGAAGCCTCAGATGTGCTGTCTGTTGCATTGTCACCCCCATTGCATTGGTCACCCCCTCCAGCTCGGGGCTTTGTGCTGTCCTTCTTCAGGCTGAGGAGCTCTCTCAGCTCCTCCTCTTTGCATACAGGATGGGTGCTGCTGTATGCTAGAGGAGTGTCCAAGCAATGGTCTGAGGAGGAATCCAGCTCCCAGGAGTCTTCAGAGTCACTGCAGGTTCGAGATTCATACCCTGGGATTTAAACAGATCTATCAGCCTGTCCTTTGCAGTGGCAAGGAGGAACATCCAGACAAGGGTTATGAACTTGTCTGCACAGCATGGACTCAAAGCCCAGAGAGCTCTGCCCTCACTTGTTCATCAGCAAACAAGGTGAAGATGCAATCTGACCTGCAGGGCCATAACCTGTCAGTGAAGGTTTGGTTCCTCTTGCCTGCTTTGCCTGGTTTTACTGCAGAGCAGTATTAGAGGGGAGCTGCAGAACAGCAGCCAGGTAACTCGTTGCCTAAAGCCTCAGTCTGCAATCCCTATGAGGCTGGAGTTATCCTGACGAAGGACAGGAGAGCATGGCAAACAGATCCTCTCTCTCCTGGCTGAGGTATGTCAGCAGAGGGGACAATTTTCAGGAGGTGGATAAAAGAACACAAGTACTCAGTGACAGGTTTGCCATTTCGATGACAGGCAATCAGCCTTCACTTACGGGGAAAAGCTGACAATTAGTGCTGCTTCTCCCCTGCCCCACACGCCTGGGGTTGATGGAAACTTGGCACTGCCTGCACCAAGGCTGACAGTCTTAATAATTTGCAGATGCCACTGCACACCCCTGGGCTATTGTTTAACAGTGATGGTATTCCCAGGAGGGAATAACACCTCTAATGCTGGAGGAACTATCTCCACCCACTTTGTCCCCATTCTTTGGAAAAAAAATTGCTGTTTTTTTTTAAACCTTCTTCAGCTGAGACACGGTGCAGTTGCTGTTTTTTCTCTCCCCAGATAAATATGGAGACATTTGCATCCACGAACAGTCTGTAATAGCCAATGATGAGGCAGACAAGATCTTTTGCACTGTTTGATTCCAGCAGCAGAGTCAGCAGCTTTTTTGAGGGGGGCAGAGGGGGGCAGGCAGCAGAGGGGAGAAAACAGTAAAAAATGTTAGAATAGACAAATGTTCCTTGTGCCACAATCTGCAGGAACATGCTGCACACTGAAAAGACATTTGTCTCTCCCATAACACCATCATTGCAGAGCACTCTGCTTTTGCATGAGGCACAGAAAAATAACATAAATTGTTTTTCTTGCATTTTGTTTTTTTGCTGTGTCTCACTGATGGAGGACAGCAGGAAGAATCACTTAAGTCATTTTATATTCTTCCTATGAGCCTTCCCTTCTGAGTCTATTCTAAACCTTCTGTACTGATGACACCATCAGCTAAATGTCAGATTTTGAAAAGAATAGATGGTGTGAATAACCCCCCACCTTGTTTCCTGGCCCTGACACAGCCACAGGATGGACATCATGAAAGCACCACTTACCTTCAGATCCTGCAGGTAGATTTTCACCATGCTCACTTTTTCAGACTCCGCTGTAAGCTCCACCCTGCTAATGTTTGCAAATTCTGCCAGACTTGTTATGATGTTGAGCTTATTATTGATAATCTGGCTCACCCCGTACTTGGCACCCACCAGCAAGGCAACGTATGATTCTCTGTCCTGTAGCTGTAGGAGGAGAGGTTAAACCTGTAGCCAAGATCTGAGCAGGAATCCATTCACCTGGGCTGGGCAGGGACTACTCAGCCATGCGATCTTGTATCATATCTTTTAACACTGGACTCTACAGCTGGGCTATAACCAGCTGCAAAGGGAGCCCTTCGTTACTTACAGGCTGTCAGGCCACCTGCTCCTGGTTGTTTTCTTCTCTGGCTTGGGGACTGCCAGTTTCCTGCTGCCCCCAAGGCAGGTGACCCCAGAGATTCACCAGCTATCTAGCAGATCCAAAGAGGTGGTCAGCGGCATGTTGCTATCAGAAGTTTCACCTGGCAGGCTGCGCCAGATGGTCCTAGCAAGACCTACTGGTGCTGGCTAGAAGCTTCAGGAAGGCATTTTTAGTTTTGGAAGAAATGTCAACACTTTCTGTTAGGATCAGACAGTTAAAAAAATGAATGAACGCCTATATAATCTGACAGAAATATTTCACGTTGCACACAAGTGTAAACCTAGGCATTACTGCAACCCATCAATAAGGTCCTCCTGTGGTGCAGATCTACCTACACTGCTCAGCTCTCTGTACAAAACAGCTTGAGGTCCACAGTTCAGTACAGATCCAAGTGGGGACAGCCAAAAAAAAATCCAAGAAACCTCTTGTGAAAAAAAGTGTTCTTTTTTACAGTAAAGTTTAAGTGTGGCCAATTTCAAGAGTTTTTGAAACCTCCCCAGATCTCTTAAGTACTTTATGACATATTAAACCTACACAGAGCTCATCTGAAAAGCAAAAATTACAACTTTCAATTAGAAAAAATATGCATAATTATTGTGGAGGCTAATATGTTATTCCCTTCAATGGAACTATGCTGAGTTACCCTCGCAGAGTTCCTTACCAAGATTTATTATGATGTCCTAGGACAGAGAAAAATGGTATGAGTGGAGCTGGCTGAAACAGCATCACCAGAGCTAATGTTACATTTTCTACCAGTATCAAAGCAAAGACAGGGAAGGAGACTCAGTAAAAGGTTGCTAGTTTCATGTCAACAATCACTTTAGAAAAATATTTAAACATTTCTGCTTGAGATAGGGCTTGCTTTGGTTAAGACATGATCTTACCCACTGGTGAAGAAAAAGGGTTAAAACTGCTTCTTGTGCCCTACCTTTGCAGTTATTCTCCAAGTACACTGCCAGAAGAGATGCACAAAGCAAGGCAGTAAGACACTATGCCAAAAGCCAATTACATAAATAAACAGCACTCGTACCATCAGGGTGGCATTAAAGATCTTTCCATTGTACATCTTCAGGTCTCCCAGTATTTGCAGGTAGCTCAGGCGCACTTGGACTGCTGCGAGCATGTGCTTTGTTTTGCAAGAGAAGAAATACCGTTTAGAAACATGACAGACAACAAGTTTGACAGGTAGCCTGCAGGCTAAAAGATGTTCTATTCATATAGGACCTAGTATTTGACCAACACATCTAGCTTGGTCTGCATAGGCAATAGATCTGTTACAGGACCGTCCTGCATTAACATTTTTGCCATCTGGCAACTCCACAAGCAAACTGCAGAACACACTATGCAGAGCATTTGGGGTGGGTGTGCAGCAGAGGAAGTTACAAGAGGAAAAGGCAGGAGAAAAGCCCCAAGTGGTCCCATAGAGATGAGACCTATGGAAGGAAGACACTGCCTTTTTGGCTGTGAGAGATAATACCACCATCCTGGGAGGCACCTTGAACACAGGGATACACACTACCTTCTGCCGAGGGTCCAGTAGCACCTGGTTCCGCTTCATGTGGTAGCTGATGGCTTTCTTAATATCCTTCCCTCTCATGTTTTGAAGCAAAGTTGGTGAGATGAAATTTTCGATTCCCCAATCCCTCCTGCCAGAAAGAGGGGAAGGGAGCAAAGAGGGTCCCAGCTGTGCTGTCCCCCAGCAACACAGGAATGTGCAGAAGGGCAGCTGGCCAGAGGCAGAGAAGAGCACAAAGGCACCACACCAGAGTCCAGGATGCACTGAGCCTCAGTGTGCTGTAACACGTCCGGACAGCTCATGCAACATTACTGCCTCATTTGAATTCACTTCTATGTGCATCTGCTACTGGGTTAGGAGACAGGGTTGCAGGAACATGCATTTTCATGTAGAATGCCCGTTTTTACATGGTTATACATGAGACAATCTACAATCCTAGTCACCACAATGGTCCCAATCTGTCCTTACCACCTAGAGGATGAAGATTCTGTCTTTACATTCACTTTACTTTGGTTACAAGATTATTACATTTTAACATCTCCAGTTCCCTAGACCCAAAAATGTGGGCCATCTGTTCTGCTGAAGAGTTTATTTAGCCCAAGCATTAAATATCCAGGAACTAAGAATGCTGCAGTTGTCTGTAGTCAATTGTTATTCTTCACTAACTGCATGTGGTTGGGTATGTCTGGCTGTATGCAAGGAATCAGTGGTGCTTGCATGGGCTGGCAGAGGCCTAATGGTGCAGTTACCACACAAATGTCTGTTATTTAATGATTGGCCTATCACAAGTTCTTAAAGCAAGGTTGTTCTTTAGGGCAAATGTGATCTAACAGCACTGACATGCAGCACAGCACACCTGTTGCTTGTGAAAGCATTTTTTGGTATTTTTTTCATGATCCCATTACTCCACAGGACCTATCACTTATACTGAAATTAGATATTTCTGATATAGTTTTGGTGGATGAAGAGTTGTAAAGTATTGGCTGTGCAAAGTTGATGACTATCCTCTCTCTTAACTATAGCATGCAAATCTTACTATACTGGCAGGAGCAGCCTGGGTAACAGTAACTACGTGAGAGATTTGCAATTTCATGTCCCTGCTCTAGACACAGATCAGAGCCTCCCTCTGCTTAGGGACATCCCCAGATGTCATACTGTCCATATTATTCAAGCAGCTCAGCAGGTTAAAGACAGGGAGACTTGTGAAGCCACCTTGCCCTAAAATGACTGGCACAACTAAGAGGCTGTAATCTCTTTGGGTCAGTCTTCTATCCAGAGCTAAACACTGGGCAAACAGAGCTGACACCACTTTTATTTGGCTCCTTCTTTTGCCAGGCTTTGTCACAACATAACACAGAATTTTGGAACTTACTCAATGTATTTCAGGGATACTTTCTGTGGCTGAGCACAAGCACAGATCCTCTCCTGTATGTGCAGAGCAGCCAGACGTAATGCCACACTGCATTTCATTTCCACAGCAAATCTTTCCTGAAGCACATCGCTGCAGCTCTGGAACAAACAGAGCTGAGTTAGCATGATGATGGGAGCTCAAGAAGTTGTCAGGGTAAGACTTCTGATATGACTACTGTGCATCACATAAAGGGAACCACTCAGTTCATTTCAACCTCATTCTGTTAAAAAGACAAGCATATAAGTTGATTCAAGAATTTAAGGTAAGTTGAATCCAAATACTCTGTTCTTAAATGCTCCACATTTCACATTCATATAACTGAACTGGCCTGAAGTATGCTTTGGTTTAAAGCAGAAATGAGAATTGGATAAGAAGAGATCCTGAAGCATGGAATGCCTCAATTTTCACCTGCAGGTAGAGATATTCGAAGGCAATTGGGTCTTCGTGCAGGAGGTCTAAGGGATCCTTGGGGACAAAGCAAACTCTGAAGAGGCAACGGTAGCCATGAGATTCTCTTTTTTGGACCACCTGCAACAGACAAACAGCATCATGCCACAACTACTTATGTAGTCCCTCCCTTCACAAATGCATAGTAAGCCTCTGGCTTGTACCACAGAATCTCTGGGTTGGAAGAGACCTTTAAAGGTCATCTAGTCCAAACCCCTGCAATAAGCAGAGACATCTTCAACTAGATCAGGTTGCTCAGAGCCCCATCCAACCTGACCTGGAATGTTTCCAGGGATGGGGCACCCACAACCTCTGTGGGCAACCTGTGCAAGTGTTTCACCACCCTCACTGGGAAAAATTTCTTCCTTATATCTAGCCTGAATCTACTCTCTTTTAGTTTAAAACCATTACCCCTTCTCCTATTGCTACAGGCCCTGCTAAAAAGTCTGTCCCCATCTTTCTTATAAGGCCCCTTAAAGGACTTCAAGGCCACAGTAAGGTGTCCCCAGAGCCAGCTTTTCTCCAGGCTGAACAACCCCAATTATCCCAGCCTGTCCTCACAGCAGAGCTGTTCCATCCCTCTGATCATTTTTGTGGCCCTTCTCTGGCCCCGCTCCAACAGGTCCATGTCTCTCCTGTGCTGAGGCCTCCAGAGCTGGACACAGTACTGCAGGTGCGGTCTCCCCAGAGCAGAGTAGAGGGTGTGAACTCACAGAAATCATTTAAAGCTACTGGCAAGTGGGATGGCTGATGATTAGGCATTATCCTTAGCAAATACAAGGAGACATTGCTAGTGTTTATTAATTTTATCTTCAATACTTTTTCTGGTTTTTGCTTCTCCCTGTGGTAGCCTGGAAGTTCTTTGACAGCAAAACTTCATTAAATATCCATTGATGTCATATATATATGCAATGTATATATACAATGGTTATATTGCAATATAACCAGGACAGAGGCTTCAAGGCCATTTGACAATGACAGAAGAAGGGGCATCTCTGCTTTTAAGATCAGTCATAAGATACAGCAGCCCTAAACAGACGCTTGGATCATCACCATAATGTCAATACAATGTTAAGACCACTGAGTTATACATTAGCATATTTTCTCCTGGGCAAATCCCATACGGGCTTGCCAGCTGAAATAAACCAGAAATTCTCAGGCACATGTGCTCAGTGGCTGGACAGTGCTAGCTATCGAACCTCTATGCATCACAGTGGATCACCAGCCAATAAAGTCAACAGCATGGAGATGAGACTCCCAAGTACGCATATTCTCACAAATTAGATTAGCCCAGAATTACTAGCAGAGCCACAAAATTACTAACAGAGCTAACCTCATGTTTGTAGGACACAAACTTTTGATTTAGAATTTAATCAAAGTAGCAACTGGCTGGGTTAACTCTTTGATTACCTAGGGAGCTGTAAATAGCTGGGTACACAGCTATTTTAAAACTGTCTCAAATATTCCTCTGTAGATGGGCCTATCTGACAGGTGGCATGAAGCATGCTCATCCCCAGTTGCTCTACACAGTCCAAGCAATACCAGCCCATGGGTATTACTCTGTGGGCTCTCGAAATGGGCTGAGATGCCATTTCTCCAGGGGCTCTGGTTAATGCAGTGCAGACATGCAACAGGCAGAGAGAAGAGGACTGCACCTCCAGAGATGAGGCCAAGTTCACTCCCTCTTGTGACACCTGCAGAGCTGAGCTCTCTCTGCACCTCACTGGCCACAATTAATTGGTGCTGGTGCCCCTCTCAGCAGCACGGCTGTGTGGGCATGTGAGGGGCTTTCCTCACCTGCTCGATGAGCTCCTCCTCATGCAGCAGGTGAATCTTTGCCACATTGTACTGCTCCTCCAGAGCAAGACCAAAGTGAGCAATACTCCGGATGGAGAGCTTCTCCTTCAACGTGAGAACAATGTCCTGGGAAGGAAAAGCACATAGATGGTCAAACAGAGTTTAGATACAGTTGCTGAGCACTGCTAGCACACCCCACAAATGTGGATGATTCTAGCCTGCCACTGGCAGCTGTGTAGGACAGCACTAAAAGGGCAGTGGCCAGACACAAAATTCTCTGCAGCCAAGAACATGCTTGGTGCTGCAGCACCGAGTGAAAACTTTAGTGCTGTTTCACAGGAAACCAGTGCCTATATGATGGACTGCCTTCCCCTCTTCACTGACAGCTTCTGAACACATTGACCTAGACAAATCACAGAAGTCTCAGAGTTAGACAAAGCCTGTAAGTTCATCAGAAGTGGAGGTATGGGAGATGGCAACCTCTTTGGGACACGAAGCAAAAGCTTGGCTGCTAGCTGCTGTGCTATTCCAGCTGGTTGTCTGACGAACAAAAGAATATACCAGCCAAGCAGTCAGCAGGACAGTGGTCAGAGCCACCACTGTCCACTGATGCCAGCTAGCTGGTAAGGAAGGGAGTCCAGGGAATGGCAGGGGAAGTACAGATAAAGGGAGGACAACACATTTCAGTAGATCAGCAGGACAAGGTAAGGAAAATGCAGCTTGCTGTGGTAAGAGTGAAGTAAGATGCAAATTTCAAGGTGTAACAGGCATCAAATCTATTTCCTAGAGTTTCTTGTCCTGGGCTGCTTCATGCTGAGAGTTTTGGCCTTACGGTTTTTAGTTTGGTGGTGTTGAGCACCTTCTGTCACCCTCGATCCAAATGTTTGCTGTTAACCATTCTAGCTTTCTAGAACGCTATGACACTTTTTGAAGTGAACTGGTGAGAAAGACTTCTCCACACTAATAAACAAGAATTTGAGAACATAATTGTAAAAATCTTACCAAATTTGACTGAAATTGGTGTTTCAGTTGTATGAAGAATTCTGTTGGAATACTAAGTGTGATGGAAATAACTAGGTTTATTTTTGGCAAACAGAAAACATCACATAAGGCTTGACAGTACAAATTGAAAGAGAATTCCTTTGACTCCCTCAAGCCTCTTGAGGTAAGCATAAATGTTTGACTCATCTCAGTTTTAAGCAAGGATCTCTCAAACAGCAGAGGAACTTTTGAAAATGCCTCATTTAGGAAGCATTTTACCCACTTGAGTGTAACTGTGAGGGTATTAGTGAGAGTTGCACTCAACTCCCGAAGGGCGAAATTTGTTCCAGGTCAGAGGTAAGCAACTCAAGTCAAACATTAAGAACTAATCCATCTTCTAGAAATTAATCCCTTGCAGATGGGCATTCAAATCTCTCTTTACAATTCATCTCCTCTTTCCTTACTACCTCCTTGCTTTATTTAATTATTTTCCTTTTCTCTGCCCTGCACATCACAAGACTTGCAGAGACTTACTTGCACGAGAGACCACAACAGTTTTGTGAATTTTGGATGAACTAGACAACAAACTCCTTCTTTTTGGTGGAAGTTTTCAGTGTATTATAAATAAAATCTCCTCGCTTTTCCCCTTAGTATTCTTTCAGCCTAATAACTTATTAACTCCAACATAAACACTAAGCAACTATAAAGATCAAGGTAGAAAAACTTAAAGCCTATATCTAAACATGACAACTATGGAAAGTGCTACATTAATTGCTCTGGAGAGCAACACTTTGTATTTTGAAGAGAACGACGGTAACTTGTCTATAATGCCTCCAAGCACAAGTGATCCTAGGGAGGTGGTACTGCTTTTCCATCTCAAGGAGCTTATCAGTTACCATGTCTCCAACAGGGAAACATTTTCACCAGTGCAGAAATGAGGCTGGAACATGGACAGGCACTTTAAGTAACAACTGGCACAACTGCACTTGCTGAGTTCACATGGTATCCAAACCTGGACTCCCACTGTCCAGGTGCAAGGCCAGGATACTTGTTCTCCCTCTCAAGGATGCTAGTTCTCCCTCTCATTGTCACTGCTGTATTAAACAACCTCCTCTGTATTCTGCCATGTGGTTTCCAAGGAAAGCAATGTTTGTGCAAGCAGCCGCTGATTTGCCAGTCCCCCACCAACCTGTCCTCTTGCCCAGTTTCAATCATGCTTCACAAAGCTGTAGTGGTCTCATAGACAAGCTCCTGAAAGCTCTGTGAAAAAGAGTTGCTGAGAAGAAAACAGAGGTGAACCAAAGCAATTTGTCCTCTGCACGGGAAAAAAAGAAGGGCATGGAAAATCCAGCATGCTCAGCTGCAGCTGGCAGTCCAGCTCCCACTAGCTGGCCAATACAACCAAGAGGTTGCAACTTACACTGCATGCACCTTTGCTACTGGATTGAATTCAGGTAGTGGGAACAAAGACAACCAAGCATTGTTACCTTCACAGTAGTGCTCGTCTCAAACCTGAAAGCTTTCGTCTGTCCATTTTCCAAGTATACCTTGAGAACGTTGGGCATACAAAGAAGAGAATTCCCCTGCAGAACAAAACCAACAGCACTAATTCTTGGTCATTAAGCCTCTGGGCACCAGACTGCTCTGCCTGATACAGCACATCCTGGTATAAATGAAAATCTTTCTCTGCTTTTGCATTCTTCTGTGGCACCAAGCTTTATTCCCTGATTATGCTTCTGGCACAAAAGGGAAACATAAAACTATAACCAGCGCAATAGCTGCACATGGCCCTGATATGCCCACTGTTTAGTTCCCACATGGCATAGGAAGATCTGGCAGATACTGAAAGCTGAGAGCCATCCTTCCTGCTCATTACTAGAAAAGCAGCGATGTCAGCTGGAAAAAGACATCTTCCCATTATCGGGCACCAGGCAGCACTAATCCCCACACTGACACTTTCCCACCAGCAGCAGCCATGACTTCAACTCAAGAGCTACCCAAACCCTCCATGCTACCATGAATAGATCTTGCACACCATGGGAAGGCTGTAGGATTCAGCTAAAAATGCAGTGGTAATTTTATTGAGCATTCCCCTAAGATTTGTGACTCTGGGGCTTCCCAAACAGGAGAGGATGTCACACTAGAGTTTCTTGAGATCGGTCTCAAATGCATTAGACAAGGCAATGACTCCCATAGCAAAAGCACCTCCATCAGGTCCTCTGAGAAGTGTCAGGGAATTTGGCTCTGTTCTGGGGCTATCTAGAGATGCATCTTTCAGCCTTCCACCTTACTCCTTTAGTAGAGCTCATTTGCACCTTCCTTCTTGTTTTCAGCCTTATTCTTCTTGTTCAGTGCTGAGCAGGTTTACTCCTCCCCTCCTGGACTTCCCATTCAGTGTATCTTTCTTATGTTCTTGGACAAGCACATTCTTCCCATCTTAAGGAGTTTATCTACTTGTCATGACAGTCTCAAAGTTGAGAATGGCACTTCTAAGACTCTCTCTCCTATGCTTCACTCACTGTGGAACTCATAAATCTCACAACCTTGATCCTTCTTGATAGAGAGCCCATATACCCTGGAAGTATATCAGAACAAACATAAAACACTTCTGAATCTTGTTCCTTGTTTCTCCTCTTCCTGTTTTGTGGGGTTCAAGCTGCCTACATTCATCACTGAGAAAAAAAAGTGAACATTGCCACTATTCCTGAGCCCAAGCTCTAACTCCTTCTAGCACAAACACATCACATCTTTGACAGGCTTTGGGTCCTCCATCAATTTCAGAAAAGTGATGCTGGTTTACACGAACTATGCATTTTCTCTGGTAGCTCCCACAGCTGCAGGATGTCATATGAATGGGGCCTTGTACAGCCAGCATACAGCAGAACTTGAAATCTATGCAGAAATTCATATATAAGTTAAGTATCACCACTCTCCTGGTCAGATCCCATTAACTGGCCAGAACACCCAGATAGGACTTCTCTTCTTTTATGCAGGCTCTAACAGACTACTATGAATTAATTCTGAAAGCTTCTGCTATGGCTTAAGCAGCTGTGCCCATCCTGTTTTGTCTGGTACGAGGTTGACTTACTCCATGTTACAGCTAGGCCCACAGCTTCTAATAATACACTGACTGGGGCTGACCTGAGGATCCTGAGGGACCTGACTCTTGCATATTATTCGGTTATATGGAAATACATAACAAGTTTGCAACAGAAAATGGAGCCTGGATAGCATTGAGGCTTATTAACAATTTATGTTCCCAAACTGGAGTTTCAGGTTTCAGCTACCAGAAGGCAGCCTCTGGGTTCCTTCCAGTTGCCAGAAAGATCATTTAGCAATGCTCCCATTAAGATGACAAGAGTAGTATATTTACTGAAACAGGAGGCTTTGCAGTTATTCAAGGCCGTAATACCCATTTTGGCTGTCTTAATACATCAGTCCACTGAAAGGAGAGTAGTTCTAAAGCACTCAAGCAGAGTAGCTGCTGTCTATGCTCACTATGGTGAATAGTGCTTTTCCAGAAAGGAGTCATAAATATGCCACACATTTATTTACTCTTCCTTTGTGCTAATATTTTACTGTTCAAAACAGGATCCATATCCAACTGGTTAAAAGGGAAGCTAACACCAGTGGGACCCCAACACCTGAGTGAATTTCTCTTACCTTTAAGTTCTTGTTAAATGAATGGCAAACTACATATTGATTGTGTCCCTCCTCTGCACTTGCAAAGGTATGATTAACTTAGCTCAGCAGAATATTGATAGAGGCTTTGTAGGAATTGCAGAGTACAGTGTCCCCCCCAGCAGTGCCTTCTTTGGACCTCTCAAGAGCTACCTTGCGATCAGTAAGTGAATGGCACATATTTGAGACCTCCACGTGCTGCAACACCAGTGCCCTGCAGATACTAGTGTGAACCTCCAGCTATAAGAAAAAGCAGAGACATTTTCAGGTCTGGCGGTATCCCATGACCAGCCTTGCCCAAGGCCTCTCAGTCATCTTTGTTTGGGACAGCTTCCAGAGTGCATCCTCCTCTTCCCTGGCTTGTGAGCTCTGTGGCTTGTGTGTCATGTCTCCCAACCACATGAAGGGTCCAGTACTTGGCTTCTATGTCAGGAAGGGTGGCCCAGCTGCTGTAATGCTCAGGCAGGATCCCAGACAGACCTGTCATTAAGATCTGAGGGATGCAAACACAGACCTTGGTAGAGCAGGGACGAGCCTTACAGCACCTCTAGCACACTTGGCAACAACTTGGCAGAAAGGAAAGGATCCCAGAGTCCAGAAAGACTTACTGGCAAATGTGTCAGGAGTCACACCTGACCTTCTCCTGCTCTGGAGAGCAGGCGAGAGAAGGAGAAGGAGTCCTGACATGCCTGGAGTCAGGCACAGGCACCAAAGCATTTGCACTATGCCTGTCTAGTAGGCTGGTGACATCCATGGCATTTCTGGCTGCACCTCTGCCCTGGTGCAGGCGGGGAAGAGGAAACACCTGCCCCAAGGAAGGCTCTGCCTGACCTCAGTGAGGAGACCTCCCTATCACCAGAGATGGGAAACAAGAGACAGCCTAGAAGAGAAGAAGAAATGGGGCTAGTGGCTGGTTTATCATCACTGCAAAGTCCAAAGAAGCAAGATTTGGTCAGACCCGAACAACTGAAAAGAACTAATAAGTAGGGAACAGGAATGGGGGATTCTGACCGCTGAAATTTTTCATTACAAAAGGAAAAAGGAAAACTCCCAACTGACCCCAGTCCAGCCCAACCACATTGAGCTTTGTAAGTTACACAGAAAGAAAAAGGACCTCTTCTCACTTCAAGGAAAGCTACAAGTGTTGTCACTGCTTGTTCTTTTCTACTACAGGCAGACCTATATCTACCCAGACCATTTGTTATCAGTGCTAGAAACCCTGTGATAAATTTGCAGCATTCCTCCAGCAAGCCGTGATCTTGTTTCACGTAAGAACAGATTGGCTCAGCTTACAGATGGTCTATCACAGAGGCAGCTGTGAATGCTTTGTGGAAACCCCCTGCAAGGATATGAAACACAACAAGCTGTCACCCTATCAGCTAGAGAACATATGTCAAATTTAGCAGCAAAGTAAAGGCACCAGTACCAAACTCTATGAACACAATGCTACCTGAACACAGCTGAAGGCCAGGAAGAGATACCCCAGGTACTTTGTCAGCAAATAAACCTGGCATGGACAGTAGGATTCACCTCTCATTTTTAGGGTTAGGATTTGTCATGCCCAAACTTCAGTCTAGGTTTACTACAGAGAGATTAGCACCTCAAGAGATGACTACTACATCCCACAGCTCCATAATGCTGGTTTAAAGTTTACCTGATGGTAAAAGGACAAAAGTGGTACATGCAGGTATTTTCGATTAGGCTAAGTAAGCAAATCAAAGATAAAACCTTCTGGAGATACCAGCACTTACTCCCCAGTCACCAGTGAGCGTAGGAAAAGAGTTGGGACCAGACACCTGGATGCATATCCAGGGTAGACTAGCACAGTGAGGGTGCAGCCACTCTGTAGGTCCTGGCCACATTAACCCACCACAGCATCCGTCTGCCAGAGTGACCCATTTCCTCCAGCATGCAGTGCCCACAGTGCCCAGCTGCAGCAATGCCCCACTAACCTGTGTGTGTCCATTCACCAGCACTTCCTCTGCAAATCGTACTTTCACAGGGTTTGTTTTTAGCCTTGCTCTCTTCTCTGCAGTAAGAAACGATGACTTAGGCCCACCCTGAAAAAATAACAGCACTTGGTTGGCAGTTCAGTCTGTTGCAGTTATGTATGAGAGGCAGAGGCCCACAGTACAGGCAGCAGTGTGATCACAGCCCATGCTGATGCTCACATCACACTGCATCATACTTACAGGAACAGGTGCTGTTAGGAGTTTCTCAGCCAGGCTTGCTACAGGCCTTTTTGACCTAACTGAGCAGTTGCTGCCTTCTGAACCCAAAACCCGCTGTCCAACAAGTGGAGACATGTGCAACATACTGTACACACTTCTAATTTCACGGCATGTTAACCAGTTACTGTGTTTAGGCATCTCCCCAACTCCTGCAGTGAAGCCAGGATCCTGCAGAACGACTCTTAACCTACCAACAGCTGGCTTGCAGTGGGGCTACACACTACCATAAACCAACACATGCAGAGTGCCTTGCAGTGACAGACAAAACCCCCTGTCAGTGTATCACAGAAACAGAGCCACGTATGCAGCACTTCCCAGCTCAGATGGGGTTTCTAGAGCATACTCTCAGATTGCAAATGTTTAAGAAAACTGCCCAAGGCTAAAAAGCCAACTTGACGTTATTGCATTGTTGCCATATAACCATGCTTTCACTGTGACAGGGGCCTACCAGGCTCACAAGACACCACGTGAGCCTAGGAGCCATCGAGTTCTCGTGTCCAAATGTCCTGCTCTTGTAAAGCATGATACTCCCCAAGAAGAACAGAGGCAGTATCCCTCAGTATCCTTCCAGACAACTTCAAGGTAGAGCAATTCCTACATCCTTGTCAGAGGTGCAGGCACCTCCCAACCTGCCACAGCCCCATCTTGCCCCGAGGCCATTTGGCAAGTATGGAGGAAGGGAGGCAGGCAAGAGCCTCTGTGCCCAGCCATCAAGCCCTTCCAGAGTCTGCTGGGCTATATGGAGCATCATGCCCGGCAGCTGCCCTGAGGAGGGCCAAGGCCTCCCACGTCCCTTCTAGTGTGGCCAGAGCAGCCCTGACAGAGGGTCTGGTATCTGTCAATGGGAGGCGTTACCTCTCAGCTCTAAGCACAGCTGCCTTCAGAGTGGGGCAAGAGCCAACCCCAAACCCAAGATCAGCCTTGGCTGTATTTGGAGGTGTCCTTAAAGTGACCTGCAAAGGAAAAAACAAAAATGGGTTTGTGCCCCATTTGCTTCTGAACAGTGCATGAAGGCCTGTGAAGGGTATTCCAAATCCCATGAAGGGTTTTCCAAATCCTTTTCTCTCTGAAAAGCCATTGCATTTTCCCCCTTTTGGCAGGCATTAAGGTCTTGCATAACCAATTCTCATTTTCCTCTTGCTCTCCAGAGCCAGATCAAGCACTGGCAAGACAGCCAGCCAATGTACTAGGCAAGTGAGATCAGATTAATAAAAGAGGGAAGCCACCATTCAGTGTATTTACTTAATGTTTTTTCTGGTTACTTCGGCTTTGTACACATCCATCGAATGACAAAACCTAGGAAACTCTGGGCAGGAAAAACATATTTAAGAGATTTTTCTATTTAATATACCTTTACTGAATGGCCAAGAAACCTTCATGACCTTAAGCTTGAGAGCTCCAGTAACTCTTCTGAAGTAATCATCATTCTTGTTTCTAAGAATAAATCAAAATAAAAACCCTCCAAATAAACAAAGAAACACTCCAAAATGCTTTCTGGGGCAGAGTTGGGGGGAAATCCCCCGCAGGCCACTTTCATACATCACAAGAAGCCAAAAAGCACACAAACCCAATTTTGTCCTTGCTTTGCAGTTCAGCTTTTACACACATTGAAATCCACATGGATAAACACAGCATGTCGGCAGTACATGCCTTATGGGTAGTTCTATGCTACAGAAGTGAGCAATCAGCACCAAAGTTTTGTACTAAAACTTTGCTTCTATTCTGGAAGTATGATCAACACCCAGGTCCCAGCCCTTAACCAGCCTGGAGAAAAAGAGATAAATTTTTCCAGCACTCAGAATGTAAAACCTCAAGAGCTTCAAAGGAGCACCTAGGGTGGATGCTGGGCCTGCAGCCTTGGCACCTGCCTTTTGTGTCCAAGGCATCTCCATGGCACACACAGACCCAGCACGTGGGAAGCACTCCAGGCTGTTCTTGGTGGGCTGGCCACAGCTTGCGGAGGACGCCTGCCTGCATCGCAGTTGTTGTGGCCTCCTGGCCCCTGCGGAGCATGGCTGGGCCCTCATAGCTCCTGATAGAGCCCCCAGCTCCAGGAAGCATGGACCTCTCAGCAAGCCTCTCCATGTGACAGGCTCTGAAAGCTGTTCTGGCCCTGCACCCAGGGGAGCTGTGAGGAGTTACCACTAATTCTCCCCAAAACCTCCTCAAAGGGCGTGCATGAAACTAGAGGACCCTCGCAGCTCCCTCACGGCTTCAGTTGGGCCCTTGCATCCTGGGTGTTAGCCCAGCTGCCCCACCTTCCCTTCGGGCCACACTGCCTGCCATGGCCATGTGGGGCAGTGCTGCTGGGAGTGCTGAGAGTGCTGAAGAAAGGCCATTTACCGACGTGCAGCGCAGGACTGTTAAGAGGAGCTCGTCACCGGCCTCCCTGTAACAGAGACACGCAGTCAGCCAGGTCCAACAGCTGCTGGCACCTTCCTCCCCGGTGTTGCAGCAGATGGCGCCCTCTTTGGCCCTTCCGCCCCCCCTGCAAAGGGAAAGCGCTCAGGCAGGCAGGGCGCAGCCCACCAAGCACTGCCACGGTACAGGAAAGCAGGGGAACCCCTCTCCCCGCTGCTGTGCCCTTCAGCCGGAGGGCAGACTCGTCCCTTTGGGGCAGGCCCCCACTGAGCACAGCACCTCGGGAGGCGGCGAGGTCGTTCTCCACGGGCTGGGGTGCTGCCCCACACAGCCATGCACCTTTGCAACCCTTGGTAACAACTGGTCCCCGCATGTCTCCTCTCAGCCCTCTGCCATCTTGTCCCCACGGTCCATGCGGGACCACACCTGATGATGTCAGCTGCTCGTTCCACAGACACTTCATCCACCGCAGTAGAGTTTATCAGGAGAAGCTGGTCGCCTGGCTGCAGCTTCCCTTCAGCGGTGCTCCCTGCAGGTGACAGCACACTGTTAGTCACAACATCCCCACAGCAGCAGGCCTCATCCCACCAGGGATGCTCACTGCAAGCTCCTCTTCCCACCCAGCACTCACTTGC